AAAAGAGACTATATAACTGATAAGGTAATACGGTATAAGTTCAGTCACATTGGAGTCTGTCCTAGTACCTCTAGCCTTTACTCTTTTTTCACTCTGATTGTGTCAGCTAGTACTCTACTGCTGCATCCTCTTATGCTGCCTTAAGCAGACCTCTCAGTACTCCCTAACAGATAGCTTGAGGCTTTTGCTTCGGCAAGACCTCTTACTTTAGGTGGGCACTCTTTTCTTACAAGTTCTCCTACTTACACTTTAGGGCTATATACATTAGGCACACGTTTATACTAACTATTAGATATTCACTATTCATTATTTCAACTTTACCGGTAATGCTAGTTCTATGGAACTGGCTGGTATATCTGGTTATTGTAGGTAAGGAGCTGGCTTTGATCTTCAATTTGGAGTTTTCTTGGTTTGAATTTTCTTCTGTTTGGTCCATGGTATGCTATCAGAATGGGAAATTTCCTTACTTTGAAGAATGAGTTTTTGAACTTTCTGTCTTTACCATTGTAGATAGCTGTGCAGTAGACTAATGGGAGAGTTTTTTACAATAAGGGCTGATTTGGTATCGGGAGCTCTAGGCAAGACCTCTCTTCATTCTCGTCCTGGGATCTGAAGATTAGATACCTAGTTGTTGATATTAGCCTTTTTAGTTTTACAGATACGCTTCTAAATGCAGAAAAACAAGGCAGGGTAGAGGTTTAGGGTCTGCATAGTGATGAGTAGAGGGAACCCATGTACCTTATAGTACATAGAGATATAGAAATAAACAAGATAATAATAATAATAATAATAATAATAATAATAATAATAATAATAATAATAAGATTAGAGATAGACAGTAATCAGTTCAGAGATTAGTAGTAGTGCCTTCAAGGAACAAGGTTGAGGTAAGAATATGGATGAAATAGGAATTGTATATAGAAGAATTGGAGAACATAACAGTGAAGAATAGGGTTAGAGAGGTATGAGCAGGAATAGAGATAAAAATGTAGTGAATAAATAGCAGTATACTTGTGCTAAGGTTATAGCTAGTAGCTACAACCTGGGATACTCTTCCAAAGTAATTGATAGTTTAATATAAGTTTACAGCTTAATATGACTTTATGTCTTTCCATTGTAATTTTATTATTTAACATGACTTTGTAGATTCTGCTAGCAATTTTGTGGCTCAATCAATCCTCTGGTATTAACTACACTATAGTTGCTTAATAAAAAATAAAATGAAATTTGACTATAGAAAATTTATAATACCTATCAGTTGTCTAAGAAGCTTGAAATAATAGGTATATCAGAAAGCAGCTATTAACAAATCCAAATAAATAGCCTGATTTACAATTTTGGAATAGGATGAGAAATAAAAATATAAGTAGAATGTACAAGTAGTATAGGCAGTGAAACTATTGCAAATTACTTAAAATGTCAGGCTTATAGTAGACAGAATAATATAAGCAATTCTTCAAGAAAATTGTGCAAAAAAATATCACTGGTAAAATGATAGTAGACAATTCATACCCTTTAGAAGAAAATATTGAGGTTGAGAGGAATAGTATACAGAAAGAAAAGTTAAAGAAAGAGATATATAGTAGGATCCATATTCTATAAACTACTAAGTTTGTATTAAATAACAAGAAAATTTAAGACTGTAAAGAATTGGTAAGAAATGATTTTATGATTAATACTTGAGGCTGGATTGAGCTACAAAATTGCTATCAGAGGCCACAAAATATATCGAGTTACAAAATTACAATGGTAAGCTACAAAGTCATATTAGGCCATAAAGTCATATTGAACTGTCAGGTACTCTGGAGGAGTACCCAAGGTTGCGAGAAAGTAAACAACAAGAAGTTGTAGCTGCTAGCCACAACCTCAGCCTGAGTAGTAACTGGAGAGGAAGTTTAGGAATGTAATAGGAGCTCCCTATGGGAAGATAGATCCTAAGGATACAACCGTACCTAAGTGTTCTTTCTGAAAACAAAAGTAAGGATAAATTAACAGCAGAGTTGAAAAAACAAGACAGTAAAACTTAATATTGTTAAGCCACAACTTTACTCAATTAAGTCCTGATCTCGTAGTTTAGCACTTACGCTAGGTTTAGGGACAATCCAGACTTTTTTTTTTTCGGCCGGTACTACGTGCTTGGGAATAGGCTTTGTAGGGTGTGTCCGTTAGTGAAGGAGGTTAGTGGTTGGAGGGATTATGGAGGTGTAGGTTGGAATACTGAAGTAGATACACTCACGTATTGTGTAGGAAAACCTGTAGCGCATTTAGTTAGTTGGTGCATACGGCTGGCTAATACCGGAAGTTTTTTTTTTAAGATAAAAAAAGTATCCAGATGCCTTGGCGCCAAGATGCCGTGGTTTACTCTTAAATTTGTGAATCTTGGTGCCAAAGGCATCCGGATACTTTTGAAAACCGCAAGTGTTACTCTTCTGTACTTGTACGGTACATCAGTTCTGTACATCAGCGCGAAAAATAATAATGTTCCTCTGGCGCGCTGGTGGTGAGATGACTAGCTAGGGCATCGTGGAGATCATCTGTGGTGTCTCGACGATGCCAGTGAGTTAGTGGAAAACGAAAGTCTGGAGTACAATGTTACCCTAATCTACCTGGCGCAACGGACGCTGCATTGGCTTGCAAAATTCGTTGAACAATGGCTTAAAAACACACAATCCATCAAAAAGATGAGCCAATAAATGGCGAGAGCTCATGGTGCCAGAATCGCCCTACTTCCAGGGTAACACGGTACCGTTCAGTAAGGTATTGTACATGTCTTTTGAAACGCCGTATGATGAAACAACTGCAAAAGCCAGCGCTGCGTCAGAGCATGGTATAAGATATCAGTGCTCCCATCATTTCAAAAGAAAGAAACGAACAAAACACAGTACCTAAAATAGCAAATGCCCTTCAAGTAAGACAAAATAATGTATCCCAGTACTTGTAGATAAATATATCATAACCAGAACGCCTTTCCATCCAAAAACTACCGGTACACAGTACACTCCCGTGCCTTATTTTATAATTATTCAAAGAACCCCTCCCAAATGAAAACAAAAATATCATCACAATTTTTAATTTGCAAGTAGCGCAAGTATACCCTCTAGAGCCGATAACTTCAATGACGGATCCGCCTTGATACCACCAGCACCAGCAGCAGTGATTCTAGAAGCAGTAGCACCCTTCTTCGAACCTGCTGTCCTTTTCTTGTCTACCAACCCGGCGATCCTCTCCATACACCTCTTCCTCGAGATGAAGCGCGCCCGGATGACTTCGTTCGCAAGCAGCGCCCTCAATACACCTACGACGGTCAGGAACAGCTCCAATTGTGGGGTGTTGGCCTGTGCGGTTCTAAGCACTTCAATTGCGTCCAACAGGATCGCTAATATGTCATGGCAGCTACCGCTGCTACCGGGTGCCTTCTTCCCGCCCTTCGGTGGTGCCGGAAGTGTGCGCTTTTCCAAGCTGTGTACCGCAGCCGTTGACTTTGAAATGTTGGCTAGCACGTTCACCCCTAGGACTAGGTTGCGGGCAGGGATTGAGGAGATTGATTTCTGGGTTTGTTTGATTGAGAGTTCAATGTTTTGGAGGAGGGCTGATACTGCTGTTTCATTGGCGGTAGTTAGGGCGGCGCATTCGCGTGAGTAGCGGGTTGCAAGTTCTATTCTAGTTGTCAGCCATGTTGCTTGCTTTAGAGACGGAGGAAGGGAGGAAGATACCGAGTTGCAAAACACCTCTGCCGTACCCTGCTGCTGTCTTCATCAATTCCAAACCCTTGTTTAGTCTGGCGACTAAGGTATCCCCTTGTGATACGGAGGCAGACATAACCTTGGAAACACGTCTCCTGGCAATCCTAACTCTTGCACTGGATTCTTGTCGTATCTTGTAACCCCTCCATAAACTCTGGATAGCGGTTACTTTATGGAGCATCCTTCGTAGTCTGACTAGCCAGGAGAACTTTCTCCAAGCCCTTTGCAGGCAAATAGCGGCATTGCGTCTGCGGGCAAGTTTGGTCCAGTGCCGTTGAAGTTGAATTGAACGTGTGCGTAGGACGATGTATCGCTGTCTATATGCCCGAGCTACTAAGGAAGATCGGTAACGCCGTTGAATGTTCAGAGTAGCTAATCGGAGAGTGAGGAAATCAAGCTGTGCTTTTTGTGCGCCTTTATAGGACCTATAACGCCTTTGGGCGAACAATGCGGCAGTGCGAAGTGACTTGTAGTTGTGTCGGGTCAGTTTGCCTCTGACGAAGGACTGTAATCTGACGATGCTTTGGATAGCAAGTGTGAATTCCCTCCTTGGACCGCGTATTGCTATCTGATCTCTCCACCATACTTGAATCTGGAGAGTAATCTCTTTCATCAGAATGTACTGAACTCGTGCGATTCGTCCCTCTAAACACGCACTCCTGCGTTTTTCAATAAACAATACACCAATTCGCAGATCTTGATACTTCTTCCTGACAAGTAAACCTCGAGCGGCGGCCTGGAATCCCATCACAGCCTCTCTTGCGAATTCAACCCGCTGCCGAAACCCATTTTCCCTGGTGCTTCTCCACTTCCGCTGCAAACACACCACCATAGATCTATATTTCTCCATATTTTGACGCAACAGCTTCCCGCGGATAGCGGATTGAATATTCGTAATGCTATCAATGAGTTTGGTGATCTTGATGTGAAGATATTGCCGGAAGGCAGTTTGGATTGTGATGGCGGCATTGATCACATGGTTGCGAGTATTGACCACGTTTGAGCATTGGTGAGCGAGTAGTAATAGATTGATCCGCTTGTGAGCATCGCGGCGGCATAAGTAAGCACGGTAGGACTTCTGGATCGTAGTTGCCGCCTATAAAACTTTAGCACCTCTAATCCCTATGAGCAAGGTGATCCTGACATACCCGCTCTTTAACAGACCATTGGAACAACCTCGAACACAGGTACGCCAGTCCAGCAACAACAAAATCTTTATCAAAGACTCTATCAGATTTTGGAGCATCGTCAAACAAACTAGCTACAGGTTGGCGGAAAATTAGCACACGTTTCACACAGAAAACCCAGCCAAATCTTACCAAAGTATGAGCTACAGCCGAGTGCCCGCAACTTGGTCTTTAACGGAGCGTTCTTCTCTCTCCTTGCACTCGCCGGAAAGTACTGTTCATACTCCTCAACAATCTTTTGGAACACGCGTCCGTCGCCGAAGCTTGTCGTCAAGTTATCGACCTGAATTCCGTGGGCTGACGCGATGCATCCCGACCAATCTTTCAACAACCGAACATGATCTGTGGGCTCGTTGTAGTAACCCATGATGGGCAAAACGGGGTGTCTTGTGTCTGCTGGCGCCTTGCGATCCTGGAGTCTTCGGATTTCCCTCTTGACTTCGTTCCAGTCCACCAGCTGCTCCAAACCCCACCGACTCACGATACCCCAGAGCAATCCCACCGTCTTCTCCCTAAACCCATCTACAACGTCCTTCGCTGTAACACCCCGGGGATTACCTCCTACGGAGTCTAAGGCCGAAATTCCTATCGAGACATTGTGCAATTTATGAGCTCTGGATGTTGCAGGGAACTTGAGGTTCGAGGTAAGGGGCCATTTCCCTTGAGGAGCCTTTCCGGAATTGGAAGCTGGAGATCCCGGGTAAAGGAGCAGTTCCACGACGCGCGAGAGGCGAATCCCATCACGCATATCAACGGCTAGATTTGTAATCTCATACTCGTACTCTTCAAGCGGACACTGCGAGACCTCTGGCAAGTAATTGAGATGTCCCAGGGGGCGCAAAATGTCACCAACCGAGGGCAGGAGTAATCGTGAGAAGGCATGCAGTACTGAAGTCGAAGATTTGTGGGGGGATGACTATTGCTGTTAATACTTCTAATGTTAGAGAACGCTCAGCAGGTTTATACTAACCTTCTTAAACAAATTTTTTCGGCCTAAAATCCCTTGAGATTTGGCCTTATCCATCAATAATACGAGCATCAAGCTGCGTAGTATACTCTTCCTAAGCAACCAGATTGTACTACCCCGATCTTCGTTATCACCTTGGGAATGCCGTTCTACAGCACCTCTCCTGCAAGTATCCTCGGCTGGAGGGCAAGCCAGTGTATCCTCGCTGCGCATTAGGTACCTTTCAGCAAAGCTCTCGATGACTTTTCTTTGATCCAAAATAGTCTTAGGTGTAGTGACAAACATCTCCCTGCCAATGACCACCTCCAACCCGGGAACTAAAGCCACAGTTTCATAAGTTTCCATAAAGAGATTGAGAAACTTCTTCCTCAGAGCTAAATCTTCTGCCCACCCCCAGCCTTGGCCGTTCAAACCCACTCCACTGCCACTAAGTTTTGCAGCTGAGCTTTTCTCCAGAACATCCTTGGGGGGAGCTAGAGCTCCATAGAGCAAACTAGCTTGTAATCGTTTGAACAGAAGGGGGAACGGCGGTGAGGAATATATACTCAAAAAGCGTGTCCGAATTTCGGGTGTCTGAAGGTTCGAACGCTCCGTGAACGCCTGGGAAAGAACTGAATTGAGAAGTTGTGAGACAGAAGATTCTTGGGCGCGCAGCCAAGAGTCCTCGTACATCTCTGCTCTTGATATATCTTCTTTGAGAAGAGGATTTAGTTCTAGTCTAGTCGGCCTATCATTAGTATGACGGAAGGGAGCTACTGGAGGCTGTGTGTCCAAAGGAAGTGAATATGGTGCCAATTCCGCCTCTTCCTCTTGTGATAATGATGGTGGTGTCGGTGGAAGTTTGTTGCTCATTTTCCTGCGCTTTAGACGGAGCTGTCCCGGACATTCTAGCGAGCTTCTTTGAGAACTCGTAGATTGAGGGGAGGATATGGATAAGCTGAACGATATATCTTCCTCATCTAGGACCATAGCTTCACTATTTCTCTTCATAGACTCCCGTGGTGGGGCAGGCGCAGGCTGGTTAGTCCTAGGCTTGAACGGAGCTGTGTGTTTGGTCCTGGACCTCCTATTATCCAAGCTCCCATCAAAGGATTCGTTTGTTGGCATCCTGGAGACTTCCGCACCACTCATTTTGACCCCTTTCTCTCCCAGTGCTATATTCTCCTTGCCGCTAGAGTTCCCATGATGGAGAACATTAGTGCTTGAATGGCGGGAAAGTCTTGATGGAGGCTGAAGAGTCTTCCGCTTAGGCGGTGCGAGAAACGGCTTCTTCTCAGGTCGATCGAATTCGTGCACGGGGGGATGGATTTCAAGGTTGGCCGTACTATAAGTTTTATCCCCAAGCACTTCATTTCTCGCAGATTGTGAGCTTTCCAACTGACTAGTAGGCTTAGGTTCAGCGCGCCCGGAGAATCTAGTGGAAGTTTCTGCTTGCTGCTTCGCCCTAGCAGCAAGTATAGTACTAATTCTGCGTCGGTTTTTGGCATCTATTTTTCGCTTCGTTATTATTCGGCGCGGCTGCTGGTGCAGAGATTGTGCGCGACTCTGTTGGGGCTGCAGAGCTAACGCTACATCATCGTAGAAGTTTGATTCTGATGCCCGTAAATTTATTTGTTCCCTTTCCCTCTCCCTCTCCCTCTCCCTCTCCCTCTCCCTCTCCCTCTCCTTTTCCTTCTCATCACTAGCTCGTTGACTATGAGTCGGCACAAATCCAGTAATTCTCCTAGGTGGCTCATGCAAAACTGCCCGTCGTCTGCGAATCCGTCCAGCAATAGTGAATAGTTCAAAATCAGTAGGTATAGCTCTCGTATAGTCCAGATCGTGAATGTCATCATCGTCGGCGTCGCTCCCAGCAGTAATCAAAGGAAAAGATGTGGGTGGATTTCTGGCACTCTGGTGATTTTCCGATTGCGTGAATGATGGACGAACTGGGCACGGGGTGCCATCTTCTTCGATGGAGAATCGAGACATCTCGGGTTCTAGCTGCTTAATTTTCGGTACTAGTGAAACGATGCGGACGGAGTCGGTTTGCTGTGTCGTCAAAAGAACGGCGAGCTTTGAAGGTTAGAAGTTCTGGCATGCAACTGTTTCCGGTCCCGGTGTTGTTACGCGCCAAATATGGCTAGTGCCGTTGCTACGGCAACACACAACAACAACACGCTCATCGAAACTCACTCGAGATTTGTGGCTGGCCATTCCAGAACAATCAGCATGGATCTAAACCAGAGCTTATTACTAAGCAATGCCTAGTGCCAAATTAAAATCTAGTCGCTAGTCTATTTGCACATGAAGCATTATATACGACCGATTCTTTAAGCTACAGAAAGCCAAGTTTGAGAATTGGCAGAAAAGGAAACCCAAATGAATCATGACACCAGTAGGACCTGTTGAGAAAAGAACTTGAAGATAGAATGAAAAAAATCAAGAACAGACTCCACCCTTCACATGAGCAAAAAAGAAAAATAAAGGGAGAAACAGAATAAAACTCCAAAGCAAAAAAGCAAGCGAAACTTGAAAAAAACAAGGTCATGCAGGACAGCAAGAAGGGAAGAAAACGAATAACTAGAAAGAAGGGTAAATGCATACGCTATCACCATCCTCCTATGGCCGCTCTCCTGGAGCGGACAGAGACGCTTTGCGCTTTGCGAAAGCCCCAGAACACTCCATATGTCCCTAACCGAATTCCTAAACATGCTCCCCCCAATCCCATTTGGTAAAGGAGCTGGATGAAGAATGTAGTACCCGGAATTTTGACCCCTGAGTCCGAAAAGCGATTAAAGTGACAAGAATGAATGAAGATTAAAAGAAAGCCCATAGAATTCACGCCGAAGATTTCATATACTCGTGAGGCCACCCACTGAATGCAGGTCCAAGGACAGAAATGAAGAAAACACATTATCATGGCAGGTCTCACTCTAGGAAAAGGAGGAAAAAACAATCAAGAGCCCAAACGACGACGACGGCCTCTGTTTCCACCCTCAGGTCGCTGGGCAAGAACGTCTCTGAGCAGCGGGTCATCCTTATCTTTATCCATGTGATGGACCCTTACATGACTATTAAAACGCAAAAGAAGTTAGCAGCGCATGACTTTTACGACTAGATTTTTATAATACCGTTGAAGGTTGTCCGGGCGGGGATACTTGTGCTCCCGATCTGGACAGAATGGACAAACATAACCGGGTGAGTCGTGAACAAGGCCGTGGCGAATCATTTCATTTTTCCGCTTGAAACCTTTCCCTCCCTCACCGCGAGAACAGCCCTTAACTGGACAGTAATGTGGGCGGGCGGATGAATGGACGTTGGCATGAGAACTAAGGAATTCAGCTAGGTTAACTCTACGCAAGAGGAGTTGACTCACTTAAGCAAATATTGCGTCTGAAAAGGAGAAGCCTTGCAACCAGCAAATTCACATTTGAATCCACCGCTAGCCAACGGCCCTTGAGCACTAGGGGCCACAGTTGAGCGACTTCTCGGGCTCGTTATTGTATCATCAGTACCAGAGCTAGGCATTGTGTCCCCTGTGCTGGGCCCAGAAGGTGGCGTATTATCTGCAGAGTAGTATTCCATGGTAGTAGAATCCTTACGCCCGGGAAGAGCCGGAGGAGTAAAGAATGCAGGTGCGCTTGAAGGTGAGGAATGGTTTTGCAAAATTCCTGGTAATTCGCGAGGATGAGTAATGCTAGACTGATACGGAACAGTAGACCCATTGGTATTTGGCGAAGCACCTTCCTTCATCGGGGGGTAGGGAGACTGGTAGTGCTGGTGCGAATTGGTGTAATAGGGTGACAATGGCGGATCCTGGTTCAAATAGAACTGCCTTTGCTGTAGTGTTAAATGGTGCACCGGAGGTCGGGGGTTCGCGTCCGAACTGAACCCACCGTGCTGGGACTGCCCAGGAGGGGCAGGAAGACCAGGCGATTGTGGGGCTTGGGTGGGTCTGTTGGAAGGAGCAACATTCACATGGGAGGAAACGGTTGGATAGACAGTCCGCGGGGTTGAAGGCATGCGATTGTTGGTCCAAAGGTTTGAGTTTTGGGTGGGCATAGCCTTTTCGGCCATTTCTGCTAGAACCTGGATCGATGAAACCGGTGGTAGGGTGGTGTGCCGCCCATCGTTTCCAGGTGGTAGACTGTTCGGCGGACTTGCTGGTTGGGAGTTCATGGTTGATATCATCGAGGGGAGTTGAGTTGGCGAGTTTGGCGGTGGAAGCTTGTTATCCTGAAACAACTGCGTTGAAGGGCTAGGGGACGGGGGCGGTCCACGGCTCTGACTGGGGTTGGGCGATTTTGCCCTTGCATTTGGAGCCCAAGCTGTTCCACCGGCTTTCGAAGGAACGCCGGGTAACGATGGTGCAGAGGTAAAGGGCTGGCGATCGTCGCCAGCCGCCAAGGCCATCAAACTAACCGCCGTTTCGGACGAGGAGAGCTCAATCTCCACAGGGCCACCCTCACACTCAGGTGGGGAAGCAATTTTTTCGGGCTCTGGAACATCGTGGCCCTTGGGCGCATCCGCCGTGGTGGTGTCAATGTCCATATTGTCGGTTCCTGTGGACTGGGTCTTTTCCTTATCCTCATCTTTGTCCTTGTCTTTTTCCTTCTTTTTCTTCTCGTTATCCTTGCCTTTGACACCCTCATCATCGCATTTGTCGTTATCACGGCCTCCCTTTCCTCCCGTTCCACCCCCCGAATTCCCCTCCCGCTCATCATCACCTCCATTTCCATAGGCTCCAGATTCCCCGCTGTTCGTACTTCCTTCACCACTTTCCTCGCCTGTACCTCCATTCGGCTGATCGGTGGATTGTTCCCTGCTCTCATTCCGACTATTTTCCTTACCGCCACTGCTACTGCCTCCTCCACCATCTCCATCTTGTGCACCTCCTTCCATATCAATCTCGTTGTTACCTTCACTCCCAGTTGACCAAGAAAGCGGGCTTTCGCCAGCCCTGATTGCGACTTGTGGTTGATCAGGAGCAAGAAACTTGAGGAGAACAGTGTCTGCCTGAGTTGCTCGCGGCCGCCGCTCTCTTTTCTTCGATTTCGGACTGGCCGGCTGGGGACTTGATGGAGCCACTGTCGAATCGAAAGATACCACTGAGCTACGCCGCTCGTCAGGATATATAAGAGGATGAGCTTGTTCTAGTCTCGGGGATGAACCACGAGACCAGGACTCGTCCGGCAGGGAGTGGGTTGAGTCCAATGACCCACGCTCATTCTTGTGACTTCCGTTGCGAGGCTCACAGGTTGT